CGCTTGCCAGGCAGGTGCTATGCCGCTGAGCTAAATCCCCAGCCCCTGTCCCTTCCTTGGGATTAGAAGATGTCACAATGAAGCCCTGATTAGCTATACTCAATGGGCCTTAACTGACGCCTTAAGTGGGATCTGTCTTTTAATTTAAAAAGTCAGATTAATGAGGAAGGCTGTTCTCCAAAATCGGATAGCCTTTGATATCTTAACAGCAGCACAAGAGGGAACGTGTGCGGTTATAAAGGATGAGCGTTGTGTGTGAATTCCCGATCCTTCTGCTAATATCTCAATGGCTGTTCAAGATATTTGATGACAGGTTAAGCCCACATCAGACCCCAAAGCTCCTTACCCTCTTTGTGGGAGACCATCACGCCTCTTCCTGATCATGTTAGTCAGGGCTCCTAGAGTGACAGATCTAATATAACATGTATAGGATTCACAAGGTGGGCTTGCCAGGGCCACCCACAGGCAGGTATCAAAGAGTACAAGGACAGCCAAACGATCCAGTCAAAGGCGCAAGACATGGAGCTTGCTGCAGAGTCCCGTTGGTAGCAGAAGGGTGGATGGTGGACGGCTGAGCAGCCTGAGCTGGGAGGCTGAGGGCTCTGGGCTAGAAGTCTGGGGACAAATGTCCCAAGGATCACTCTAGTTTCCTCTGAAGAAACTAAAGCGAGCCTTCCTGCTCCTGCCCTCTTTGTATCCCACTCAGCTGCAAACCTCTTGGCTGGTGCCACTTGCACCTACACTGGGCCTTCTGTCTTCAGTAAAATCTCCTCGGCCACACGCAGAACTGCACTGATCCAGTCAGTTGTGCACAACAGTTAACGTCACACAGGCAGAAACATTTGTGGGCCATATTAGTGATAGTCTTGTTGATCTTGTTATTTGGCCCATACATACTCAACTGTTTCTCTGGCTTTGTCTCATCTAGACTTAAAGCTAACCTGCCTGAGATGAGAAGGGTTGGCATCTATCAAAGGCCTGTAGACTCCTCTGAGGAGTATCTCTGATGCCAACCTTGACGATGGCCCTCCCCAGCTGGAAGTAGGCAGAGCCACTTCTGCCCTCTGCCCCCTCATGGCAGTGAGAAATGCCTCTTCAGGGAATATTATAGATGGCTAAGTTAGATAGAAATTAACAGACAGGTGGACGGGGATGGGCCCTCAAGAGAGTCAGTGCAGAAGATGAGAACACATCAAAGCTGCCTGGAGGCACATTTGAGGATGGTCAGGCCTCAAGATGGAGACACAGTGCCCTGACCCCGGGCCTCCCTAAGAAGTAAACAGCAACTTGAGATTATGCTGTAATCAGCACTGCCCAGTCAAGTCCAGACAGGCACCAGACACCCGGGTGGGTGATCAGAACATCTAGACTCATCCCTTTCCAAAAAATGCCTTATTCTTTCTATGTTAGAAGTTATACAAGCATAAGTCCTGATTTTGATTCCCAGTATTCCCCCCCACAATAAAAGGAGTTATAGCTGGGCATGGTGGCACATACCTGTAATCCCAGCACTTGGGAGGCTGAGGCAGGAGAATTGCCATGAGTTCAAGGCTAGCCTGGTCAGGGTCAGTCTGAACTACAAAGTGAGACTGTCTCAAAAAAAAGAAAAAAAAAAGAAGTTACAGATAAGTGGAAGTTCGACATGTACTGCTGCTGCTACATGCCTGGAGTCCCTATTGGACCAGGATTAGCTAAGCTGCTATACTGTAATCCTACTGGTTGATGGGAGTGTGACCCATGTTGTTCCTACCTTGTTATTTTTCTCTATTAAGCATTCTTGGAGAAAGAGCCCCTGTAGCAACCCCTTCGGATGCCCTCCTATCTCTCAGGAGCTTTCTCTTAAAAAGCATTTCCTACTCTTGCTGGGCATGGTTGTTCACACCTGTAATCCCAGTGCTCAGGAGACTGAGGCAGGAGGAGGGCTGCAAGTTTGTGGTCTGTAGTTCTTCAAAAAGAACTACATAGTGAGACCCCCATCTCAAAACTCCAAAACAAACATAAAAATAAATTTTAAAAAACCTTTCCTACTCTTCACTTCTTTTGTCCTTTGGACTTACTCTTTGGTCCTCGGGGGACATGAACTCGGCTCATCTGACATCTAACAAGTTGGGAGTTATTCTTCCTGTTACAGCCTCAGAGTGATGGACACACAACTGAGAAAAAGGTCACACAGTGACACAGAAGAGTGGACAAGGGCCAGCTTTGCTCTTTTTAAAAAAAATTTTATTTTCATGAGTTCATCTTTGCAGTACACAGTGATCACACTCCTCACGGGGAGTGGTGCAGGCACAGAGCACATCCATCCGAATTCTTTTTACATCTCCTTCTCCCTCTATCTTTTAGTCCCCTTCTTTTTTGAGAAAGACCTATTGCCCTACTCCCTGTTATCTATCTTTTATTTTGCTCTTTATTATTTACACTTTGGGTTTCTCAGATAAGAGAAGCCATGCACTACTGAAGCTTGATTTATTTCACTTAACACTATGGTGTCAAGATGTACCCATTTTCCTGCAAAACACTCGAGATTACTGATGGCAGAGTAGTGCTCCACGGGGTGTAAATACCACACTTTGTGCACTCCTCAGTCCATGCACATGGAGGCCGCTTCTAAGATCTAGCTGCTGCAGGGTGTGGTGGTGCACACCTGTAATCCCAGCACTCGGGAGGCTGAGGCAGGAGGATCGTTGCAAGTTCAAGGCCAGGCTGGGCTACAAAGTGAGCTCAAGACCAGCCTGAACTGCATAGGAGACTCTGTCTCAAAAAAGACAAAAAAAAAAAAGATCTGGCTGCTAGATGAGGAGTTGTGCTGCCATGTAGTTGGTTGTGCACCCATCACTCTGACAAGATGTCTTTAGCTCTCTCGGGACGATACCTAGGAGGGCGATGTCTGGGCCGAATGGAACTTCTAGTTTCTGTTTTGTCTGAGGACTCTCCATAGTGGTTGTGCCAGCTCCATAATCTCCCTCCCTCTCGCTCCCGGGCGAAGTGGCTCCCTCTGTGAGACCCACTCAGTCCCCTCCACAGCCGAGGCCCTGGTGACCTGGTGACCTGTCATCAGGCCCTGCTCCTAAAGTGCCCATGGCCTCCTGACAGCTCCTTCTTGGGCCCAGCTTCCAACGTGTAAGCCAGTCAGGGAAAGGTCACATCCCAACCTACCGTAGCTCTGCAGTCTGGGTCTCCCGCTGGGGCAGTGCTGCTCTCTCAGCGCTTGCACATCCTCCCATTCCGTCATGCCTCACCCAAACTTCTTTCTTGTTTGTTTGAGACAAGGTCTCACTGTGCATGCCCAGGCTTGGCCTTGAACTCATGGCAACCCTCTTGCCTCAGCCTCCTGAGTGCTGGGATTATGAGCGTGTGCCACTTCTGGCTTTGCAAGAGTTATTCTCATGTGGGTCATTACTGTCATTCTTGCCTGGGGTTGGCTCTGTCTGTGTGTATTACGGTTTCAAGCGGTGCTCATTAATGGACCCACCTAGACACTTAAAACAGAGGCCTGGGGATGCCATCAACCTCCTTAATATTCCTTCTGACAACCGGAAGTCAAAGGAATGAAACAGCCCAAACTCCTGCAAGAATTCATCAGAAGCAGGAAATAGCAATTAGTGAGTGGGGACTCTTTGCCAACACACCAGCACCAGGGGGCCGCCTTCCTGCTCCCAGAAGAAGGGTCCCTCGGGGGCAAACATGGCCAGATTGCCAGGGACACTGTGGCACAGCTCAGCCCTGTTCAGTTCTGCCCTCTCACCTGCAGCACCAGCAGAAGGATACTGACTGGTTGTGCATGATGCCAAGTCAGACATCATTCTCCAGAGGCACGGGGCTGACTTTTCATGGTGGACAGGGCTGGCTGCGACTAAGATGGGACAATGTACATGCATGCACACCTATCATCCCAGTACCCAGGAAGCTGAGGCAGGCAGATGGCCCAGGTCCCAGGGTAGGGTGGTGTTCACTTACAATCCCAGCTATTCAGAGAGGCCAGCATGGGCAACTAAGCAAGATCCTGCATCATACTAATTCTAGCTGGGCATGGTGGCACACTCCTGCAATCCCAGCCCTCTGAAAGGCTGAGGCAGGAAGATTGAAAGTTCCAAGCCTATCCTGGGCAATTTAGTGGCTTAGCCAGACCCTGTCTCAAAATAAGAAACAGAAGGGGCTGGGGATGTAGCTCAGCGCAAAGGCCCTGGGTTTAATCCCTGGTGGAGTTGCCCAGCTCAACACCGGGCATAAGGCTGGTGTCCAACCAGTGTATGTTGAGCAGGAATCTGAGGATACTCAACCCCAAAAGCCGGTGCACACATTTGCATGCTTGCATATTGTCACCCGGGAGAGCTCTGCTGTTGGTGCAAAATGTAGGGAGTGTTCATCATGAGTGGTGTTATGAGCAGAGTGCTACACACACACACACACACACACACTCATGACTGTAGGGGCTCAGCTTTGTGGGGTTTTTCGATTGTTTGTTTTTGAGACAGGGTGTCACTATGCAGTTCAAGCTGGACTTGAACTCACTATGTAGCGCCAGCTGCCCTCGAATTCATGACAATCCTTCTGCCTCCGCCTCCTAAGTGGTTGGATGACAGGTGTATGCCACTAGGCCCGGCGAGTGGGTTTTGTTTTGTTTTGACGTTGATTTTTTGAGACAGGGTCTTGCTATGTGTTCAGGCTGGCCTCGAACTCACCGTGTAGCCCAGGCTGGCATCGAACTCACAGTGATTCTCCTGCCTCGGCCTCCCTTGTCCTGGGAAGACAGGCACTCCCACAAACCAGCTCAGTCTTGACCTTGGAAAGGTTCTATTGTCAGACCATCCAGTGGCCAAGGTCGGCCGGAGCTCGCATCGTCTTCCCCTGTGCCCTGGCATGCACGCCTCGCCATTGGTCTACGCCAGCGTCCCACGTGAGGGCCTGGCGCTCCCCGAGCTCTGGGCGGCCTCCAGGGGGCGCCGGTGCGCGCGGCGTGGGGCGCACGTGGGGGCGCAGGCCAGCCCTCGGGGCGTAAACGGCCGGCGGCGTGGGAGGGGTCACGCTCTGGGGTCCCCGCGCAGGCGCTGGCTGTGCTCCGCCGGCGCGTCCCTCTGCTGCCCCCTGTTTTCCTGTCCACCGAAGGCTGCCAGGCACCCTCGGGCACGGGATCCGGGTACAAGTGAGTAACCCACGGGAGGGACCTCGGGCCGCGGTGCTAGATGACTTGCGTCGCCCCAAGACCAGGAGACCTTCCGTTCTGGCCTTCATGGACTCTTTTTTTTTTTTTTTTTAATTTTGTTTTTTGAGCCAGGGCCTCGCTGTGTCGTTCAGGCCGACCTTGGACTCACTATGTAGCCAGGCTGGCCTCGAACTCACTGCTATCTCCCTGCCTCAGTGTCCCCAGTGCTGCCCTTTGTTCCCCGCGACCACCACAGGCCAGGTCGATCCACACCGTCCGCCTGTCAATCAAGCCTGAAGGTCTCTTTCCAGGGAGACTGCGATCCCGGCGCTGCCCCAGCCCGCGGTGTGTGCAGTCACAACGCAGACTGCTTTACTGGGCTTTGAGGATGACGCCCTCCAAATCCATGTTCAGTCTGCACGCAGTGAGCCGGGTCCTGCTTGGAGAGCCGCTGCCCTGGCTCGCGCTCCTGGGCCTGACATCTTTGCTTCAGTCGCCCGGTAGGAAGTGTGGCGCTGGGATCTGGCTGTCTGTAGAGCCGTGCTCACCGCAGGGCGGTGGTGAGATCCCGAGCGGATCTCGGCTGTTTGACGCCAGGGCCCAGAAGCATTTTGGATTCTGTAATGGTTTGGCCTCGCAGCTGCACTTTGGGAGCCTCTCGTTCCACCTGGAGCCAGGGAGCTGAAAGAACAAGGATGGTAGCCGCCAGGTGGTATCTCGCTGGCACAGGGCCAGGCTGGGGCGGTGGCTCCGTGGTAGAGCACTTGGCCGCATGCAGGAGGCCCTGGGTTCAGTCTCCAGGGCCATCAAAACGAACAACAAGGGGCTGGGGATTTAGCTCAGCGGCAAAAGCGCCTGCCTGGCAAGCGCAAGGTCGTGAGTTCGGTTCCCGGTACCGGAGAAAAACCCAAAAAAAAAAAAAACAAAAAAAAAAACAAAACGAACAACAAACAAACAAGCTGTAAAGAAGTGGGGTTTAGCTGTCTGCTCTGCCTCCCCCATGTGACTGCAGAGAGCCCTTTGTCCCCTGCTGCTTCCTGATCATGGTGCCTGGCATAGGACACTTGGGCCGTGTCCGACTAGAATCACCATCTTCCCTGCTTCTAGGATGCTTTCTTCTCCCTAGACAGGGTCTTGCTGTGTAGTCCAGGCTGGCCTTGAACTCATTTTGGAGCCAGGCTGGCCAGGAACCCATGGTGATACTCCTGCCTCAGCCTCCCGATTGAGTGCTAGGATGACAGATGTGCATACCTGGCCCTTCTCTCATTTTCAAGCTGTTTTTACTTTTGGATTCAAAGTGACTCTGTTGGGGATATCACACAGTTGGATTATGGGTGTTTTTTTTTTAGTCCATTTTGCAAAGCTCCCCCTCTTTTTGATTGGAGAATTTGTTCCATTTACATTTGAATGACTTCTTGATAATGAGGGTTCTTGCCACTCTGCTGTTTTCTGTGTTGCATCTTTTTTGTTCTTCCTTCACTTTTTCTTTTGTGTTTTTTTTTAAGTACACTGTTTTGATAGTTCTTCACTTCCTTTTCCAAATATTTTTATTTTCATAGTGGTTATTCTGAAGCTTATAAACTGCATCTTAAATGTATAACAAGCTCATTTTAGTCGACACCAATTTAGCTTCAGTAGTGTACAAAAGCTGCCTTGACAACTCCAGCCTGCCCCTTAGATTTTTGTTGTCACAAATTACATCTTTATACATTGCACATCCATTAATGTAGTTGTTTAATTATTACCTTGTGTGTCTGTATTTTGTGGGGGTTTTTATTTTGTTTTTGGTTTTGTTTTGTTTTTGAAATAAGGTCTCGCTAAGTTGCCCAGACTGGGACTGGCCTGGAACTTGTGACCCTCTTGCCTCAGCCTCCCAAGTATCTGGGGATCCCAGGTAGTCCTCTCCTCCCCTGGTATTGCCTGGTGTCTGAACAGCAGCAGACAAACAGGGGCACCATGGCACTGTGTCCTGTCCACAGGGGTCCCAGCAGCCACTGTCAGCCAGAGCTGAGCTGTTGCTTCCAGGAAGTCCAACGCCCAGCCCGATGGAGACATCCGGGGACCCGTTCCCCAGCGACTGGAGCCCACCGCCCATTGAGTTCCTAAACCCCAGGCCACCGCAGGACGCCCAGGGCCGAAGATGGGGTGGTGTAGGGACATCGGCTGAGGGGTCAGAGCCACAGCATGCAGACGGGGACCTGAAGGCGGGCCCAGCCTCCCCGGAGGAGCTGTTCTGCAGTCTGGCCTGCCAGAGCCAGCAAGCGGATGTCCCGGAGCCCAGTGCCCACGGCTTGGTGAGCACCGCCACCCCGGGCTGCCCCATCTGTCACCAAGACCCCTGCCCACCCGCCTACCCCTGGGCTGCACCTCTGCACGGCCCTGCTGCAACACCTGCTAGCAAGTACCCAATTCAGTGCCACTTCGGCAAGGGGTCCCTCAAGGCCTTCACGGCAGAGATCAGGATCACAGTGACAGAATCCGAGCACAGCTGGGCACAGAAACTCAGGCTGACCTGGTGAGCCAGTGTGACCAGGGATCCTGAATGGAAATGCCAGGGATGAACTTCACATCGGGAATTCACTCTTGGGGACAGGTGGAGTGTTCAAAAATCAAAAGGCCCAGAAAATGTATTCTAAGAATAGAGCCTCAGAGCGGGGCGTGGTAGCACATACCTGTGACCCCAACATCCTAGAGGCAGAGGCAGGAGGGTCTATGTGAGTTCAAGGCCAGCCTGGACTACAGAGTGAAATCCTGTCTCAAAAGATCAGTAAAAATAAATAAATAAAATATAAAGCATCAAAGCAGCGCCCACCAGAGTCTCCTGCGGGGAGGAACTGGGTGGCTGGGTAGAGGTATAGGGCTTTGATCTTTGATTTTTTTTTTTAATCATATGAATGTGTTATCTCTCCAGAAAAGAAAACACAATAAATCAAGGGCTTATTTATTTGGGTCTTTTGAGACAGAGTCTTACTATGTCGTCCAGGCTGGCCTTGAACTCCCGGCAATCCTCTTGCCTCAGCCTCCTGGGTGCCGGGATTACAGACTTGCTCCACCATGCCCAGCGACAAGGGCCTATTTTAGCCTGAACCTTTCCTTCTCCTGCTCCTCTGACTTTGTCCTTTCTGTCTTCCCCGCTCTGTATGTCTCCAGTGCAGTCCCCCGGACTCTGGGAACTATGTCAACTCCTTAGATTGCTTACTGCAGGAGAAGAGGTGAGTGAGAGTCCGCCACGGCGCTCATTTCTCCGGGATTTTCAGCAGTTTTAGGACCAGGCAACTTCTTGTCTGCATCAAGCAGCCTTCCCTACCCAGACACAGCTGCCCAAGCTCGGATTGATACGCTTCTGTAGGAGAGGGCGGCATCTCCGTGGGGCGGTTCTGCTGGAGGCACACAGCCTTCTTGTGGGCATGAGGCCAGCCACTCCTGCCGACCTGTCCCCTGCGCTGGTACCGCACCGCAAGCCTGGCAGGGGAGCCAGGCTGGTACACACGCTTCACCCCAGAGGCGCGAATTCAGTGGCACCGATCAGAATTGCAAGCAGGAGCCGGCACCTGGCCCTCTGCCAGGCCCAATGCCCACGAGCAGCTTGGCTCGCGCCAGGGACCGTTCGGGTGGAAACATGGCCCCTGCCGCCCGCCGCGGGCTCTGCCTTTGATGGCACGCACGCACATTGCTCACACGACCCGGTTCCTCCCCGTCCCTGCCGCCGTCTGGCGTTCGTGTGTGGCTCAGCGTGCACAGCTGGGCTTGGTATTCACACCGAGACCCACCCGCCGCTCCCAGGCTCCACACGGGGCAGTGACCACGCGGGGACAGACCGTGGGGCTCCTGTCCTGTCCGTGTCTGGACCTCTGCCCGCCAGAGTCCAGGCTCCTCTAATTCTTCCTCTCAATCTTCTCTTTTTCTATTTTTTCTTTCTCTTTTCTTTTCCTTCCTTTTCTTTCCTGTTTCATTGCCTTTCCTTCTCTTCTGTTTTCTTTCTCCCCCAGGACTGAGGATTAAACCCAGGCTTGTTTGTTTGTTTTTGAGGCAGAATCTTGCTCAGTTGCTCGGGCTGGCCTTACGTTTACAATCCCACCTCAGCCTCAGAGTATCTGGGATGACGGTTGTGTGCCGCCCCGCTGGGCTTCCTCTGGCTTTTACTAGTCTGGAGAGTTCTGTGCTTTGACTTCTTCCTTCCCCTGAGTGTTTTTGCCCCCCCACTAGGTGGCGTGTGTTTCACGGCGCCCGGTGCTGTGCTGTGCGTTTAGTAGGTGCTGGGAAACGTCAGGCACCTGTCCTGGCTGGCTTAAGCCGCAAATGGGAGTCTCTCCTAACCGGCTGATTTGCTCCTGAGGAGAGTGCCACCTCCCTGCAGAGCCAGCAAGCTGTCTGGTCTCTCTCTCTCTCTTTTCCTTTCTTTCTTTCTCTCTCTCTCTTTCTCTCTCTCTCTCTTTCTCTCTCTCTCTCTCTCTCTGTCTCTCTCTCTCTCTGTGTGTCTCTGTCTCTCTCCTTCCCTCCCCTCCCCTTTCTTCCTTCCTTTCTTCTAGTTCTGGGGATGGAGCCCAAGACCTCCTGTGTGCTGGGCAAGTGTAGCTCTGAGCTGTCCAGCAGCCTAGGATGCTAATCCATCAGTTCGTCCTTCTGAGGATGCTAATCTGTCATCAGTTCATGCCCCCGTGAGCTCATTGCTTACTTCTTGCACCGTGTACAGCTGCACGGGGGGCGGGCACAGCGGTGCAGCTCTTGGCTCAAAGGTAGAAAAGCCCCCAGGTGTCCTTGAAGCTTGCAGAAGGAGAGGGGCTTTGGAGGATGGGGGCAGCTGCTGTGGACAGGCAGAGAGGCCAGGCCGTTCTGGCAGGCTGGTGGGGAGGGGAGTGCTCAGCGCCTTGGCCAGTAGGACGTGGCCGGAGGGGCAGCTGGGGTGCTCCAGGGACAGGTGCGGTGGGGGGAAAGGCTGCACACGTGCACAGGTGGCCTCCAAAGGCCTCAGGAGCCATCAGGTCAGCAGCCACGGGAGGCTCTGAGAGCAAGGTGGGGCCTGGGCTGCAGGCCAGGGGGCACAGCCAGGGCCAGAGCCAAGGTTGGGGAGGCCCAGGGATGGAGCCAGCCTGCAGGAGCAGGACAGAGGCTTGGGGCCACTCGGGGTCTGCAGGGCACGGAGGGCAGAGAGGATGAGCAGGGAAGGAGGCTCTGAATGTGCATGGTCGGGGAGAGGGGCTGTGGCAGGGGTGCCAGGACACTGGGCGCAGCCTCCCCTGGCCGTGCAGCTGGGCCCAGGGAGCAGAAGGCCAGGCCCAGGGCTGCCTGCCAACTGGGTATCCCAGCTGCTTGGGAGGCTGAGGCGGGAGGATCACAGGTTGAAGGCCAGCCTGGGAAACTTAGTGAGACTTTGTCTGGAAATAATAAACATAAAAAGGGCTGGGGTATAGCTCAGTGGTAGACAGGCGCCAGGCGCTGGGATACAGGTGTGCTTGGAGCTGTGTGCTGATGGTCTCCACTGGAGCACCTTCCATGCCAGGCACCTCGCCCTGCTGTTCAAACCATGCAGCGGCACAGACGCCAGGCCTCCCGCATCCCAGGCCGTGAGTGGCCGTGGCCGTGGGTCTCAGCAGCCTGGCGATGGGGCTGGATGGCCCGAGGCGGCGCTGAGCCCTGACTCTGGCTCTTGTGCCCCACAGGGAGCAGCCCCCGGAGCAGGGCCTGGGGAGCCTGTTCCTGCAGCACTCGGATGCTCTCCCCTGCTCTGAGGACAGCGAGGACGAGGACGAGGACGCCCTGCTGACGCCCCAGCACAGGTGGGCGGGGCCCAGCCGGCGGTGTGTGTGTCTGTAAACTACAAAGCTGCCTCTTCCCCAGCACAGCGGCGCACACCTGTCACCCCCGCGCTCGGGAGGCTGAGGCTGGACAATCACCACAAGTTTGAAGCCCAGCCTGGGCTACACAGAGTTCAAGTCAGCCTGAACTACATCATGAGACCTTGTCTCAAGAAACCAGAGAAAGGGGCTGGAGATTTAGCTCAGAGGCACAGAGCCTGCCTGGCAAGCGCAAGGTCGTGAGTTCGATTCCCGGTACTGGGGAAAAAAAAAAAAAAACAGAGAAAGGAAGAGAGGGGAGGGAGGGAGAGGAGGGGAGGGAAAGGAAGCTGCCTCTTCCTCCTCCAGCCACGTTCATTCAGATTCAGGAAATAGCTGATCGCCTGCCTGCTGTCAGGGTCTGAACTGGCCTTTGAGGACGCCGCAGTCATAAAACACAGCCCGATTATCTGCCCAAGCTCACAGAGCCAGGCCTCTTGAGAAAGTAGCCACACAAAACCACAGTCCAGCTGAAAACGGCTTCGGGGGGCCAGTTTGCCTCTGCCCCATCTGGGCTGGAGAAGTGGCCTTGGGAGCACCGTCATCTGGTTGGGCCCCTGCTGGCCTAGACGTTTTTGTTTGTTCGTTTGTTTGTTTGGCCCGGACTTGAGGGGCTCTCAGTGGGAGTGAGGCCTGGGTTCATGTGTGGTGCAGGGTCACAGAGACGCTGGGGACCACAGCTGAATCTGTTTCTTGAGACGGTCTCACTATGTGGTGTAAGAGGCAGGCTTTGAACTTGCCTCAGTCCTCCTGCCTCAGCCTCCTAAGTGCCGGGGTTACTGGTGTGTGCCACCACGCCCGGCAGGAATCCGTCTATAGGGTGTGGCTTTCCGTCTGCCCTGATTCTTTGAGAGCTGCCGTAGCAGCACCACAGACAAGGCCGTCTCGCCGTGGCAGATGGCTGCTGTCTTGTGTCACAGGTGGCCGGAGGAGGGTGACAGAGCTCTGTGTGTGACGCAGAGCTGTTCGCAATGGCCCCGACCTCGGGACCGGCTCACCTCCAAAGTCTCCACCTCCTAAAGCCACCACCTCAAGGACCGGGGTTCTAGCGTGGGCATTTCGGGGATACAGACATGCAGCCTGACCCATCCACTGTGTGTCCCTCGGTCCCCTCGCTCAGTTCTTCCAGTGAGTGTTTGACTTGTCCCTCTGGCTGACCTGCTTCAAATCGGGGTCTCCATACCCTCTCCCCGGGGTTCCTCAGCTCACTGGAGCGGCTCCCAGAGCTCGGGGAAACACTTCTCGTGTGACGGAGCTGTGAGGAAAGACGCGGACGCAGAGAATGCGGGGTGAGCGAAGAGGCTGCCACGCCCTCTCTAGTGGCCCCCGCTAGGAGCTGCTGTGTGCTCTGCCACCCTGGAGCTCCGAGCCCTGTGAGCCTGGGTTTTTCTGGGGCCTTCCCTGCGCAGACAGGACGGCCGTCTAGTCACTGCCTCTTGGGCTCAAGTCTGTCCTCTGGGTGTTAGGTGGGACTCTCTGGCATGGGAGTGTCTTAGGACATATTACCAGCCGCCCTGGACCAGATACTCCTTGGGGCCAACCAGAAGCATCATGCAAAGGTTCATCTCTTCCCCTCGGGGATGCCTTGGGGGAGAGAAATCCTGGTTTCCAGGACCTGAATTAAGGAGGCAGCTGCAAGACAAAAATAAAAAATAGCCAGGTGTGGTGGTGCACGGCTATAATCCCAGCACTTGGGAGGCTGAGGCAGGAGGATTGCTATGAGTTTGAGGCCAGCCTGGACTATATAGCAAGTTCAGCATCAGCCTGGATGACATATCCAGACCTTGTCTCAAAGAAAAAGAAAAGGAAGAATTCCTTTGGGGAGTCCAAGAGCCTAGATCAAGCAGGGAGGTGTGAGTCAAGGCAGAAGCTGCTGTGTGCAGGTGACGTTTAAACTTTGAGACTGGGTGCAGAGTGTAGAGGGCGCTGCACAGGAGTCTGAATTCCCCCGGGACAGGTGGCAGGGAACGGGAAAGGGCAGAAGAGAAACTGGTCGGTGGCCATGGAGGGCAGTGGGCCGGAGTGGGTGACCTTGGTTTCCTTCGACTTGTCTCCCTTTCATGGAGGACGCTGTAGTTTGTAGGAGCCAACGTTCTTCAGGAGTAGGGCTGGATGATGGGGTAGAGGGAGATCTGCGGAGCCCCATGTCCCAGAGGGACTGGGTTGGGCTGCAGGGGAAGCCACAGCCACGTGACCCGGCAGACCTGGCTGGCCGGCTGTCCAGGCGTGGCTTTCTCCGGGAGCATGAGTGATTCGGCTTGGAGATTATTTGAGACAAGGTTTTGTTCTGTAGTGCAGGCTGGCCTTGAACTCACTGTGTAGCCCAGGTTGGCCTTGAGCTCACAGTGATCCTCCTGCCTCAGCCTCCTGAGTGCTGATATGACAGGCGTGTGCCACCGTGCCCAGTTCCTGAGTGTGCGACTGAATCATAGCATGTGTCTATTGAATGATCCCATGGGCCCCTTTCTAGGATCCCTAAACAGTTGGCCCCATTTTGGTTGCCCAGAAATGGTTGTGAACCAATCCTGGCTGGCTGCTTGGCCGTTTCTCATTTCTCTGCTGATTGCCTGTGGCCAAGCTCAGGGATCGGCCAACACTGTCTGTAGAGCCTCTGCATAGATAGTGAAGGTTTTAGGCGCTGAGCTGACTGGTCTCTGTCACCATGCTGGACCCTGCAGTTGTAGGATGAAAGCTCCCACCCAGCAGTCAGGGGCTGAGCCTGGCGGAGCCAGAGGGACCAGTGCCCCAAGGCGTGCCTGGTGGGTGTGGCCTGGCTCAGCAGGCCCCGCCTCTTGACTGGTGTCTGTCTGTGGTGCACACAGGCCCTGTTCCCCCTGCTGAAACAGCAGGTTATGTGTGAGGCAGCCAGATCATCTCCTCAAGGACAGGCTCGGGGTGCCTATGGGGTAGGGGAACGTGGTGGCCCGGGGCATGGGGAAAAGTGAAGTCATCCAGGCTCTGCATGTTCGTGCGCCGCTTCCTGACCTTGCATGGGAAGTGGCGGTTAGCGCATCCTGAGCTCCGAGCTGTGGCTCTTTGCTGTCTAAAGGTCACCTGCTGGACACCTGTGTGGGCCCAGGTGGAGGGTTGGTGGCTTCCGATGGTCTGGGAGAGACGGAGGTGCTGCAGCCACAGTTAGAGGTGTTAACTGCACAAAGCCACCGGGAGGACACAGCTGAGCAGTGCGACCTCTGAAATGGTGATAAACACCAGGAAGGCAGAGTTGGTGGCTCTGGCGCCGAGTCCGGCTCCCTCTTGGTCCTGTCTGGCCCGTGAAGGTCTGGATGAGTTCCGGTTGGAAGAGTCATCCATGCACCTTCGTGGAGTGCAGGGCGGATGCTGCGAAGTCACTGTGGGACTCCAGGAGGGCAGTGCCGTCCCGTTTGAGGTCAGGACAGGTGGTGGGGCGTGGAGACCAAGTGTCACCGGCATGCTGGGGCCTTAGGCTCCCGCCTGAGAACAGCTGGTGACGTCACATTCACCTTGTCTCCAGCAGAGACTCGTGACTTTGGCTTCTCGGTTCTGCGCTTTCCAGCTAGTTTTCCTCCAATGAGGCCTTTGTGAAAGCCCTGTGCAGGAGTCCTGCAAGTCCCGGCTGGGAGGTTTCGCAGTCTCCCAGAGGGGGCGTCTGGGGCTGTCGGATCAGCAGAGGACTTCTCAGCTCAGAGCAGCGCCCACCTTCGGGCACATGACGTTTCCAGCAGGGCTCTGAGAAAGTCTGACAACAGCCACTTTGAGGCGGTTGTTTTGATGTAGGCAGTTTGAAGAGACTGCTCGACCTTACATTGCCCTCTGAGCAGAGCCGGGAGGCGTCGGGCTGGGACGCAGTCTGGGAGGCGTGAGGCCGAGGGTGGGGCGGGTTCATATGCCAGACAAGGCCTCCTAAAATTGTCACAGTGGTGCGACTTAGACAGGACCCTGATTATCCGCAGCAGAGCGTCCGTCATGCCCGAAGAATTGGCTTGCATCTCGAAGGGATGACATCGTAAATTCCCTTTCTTAACGTTAAAAGACCTTGTGTGTGCACTGGGGCTGGGGCTGGGGGAAGGAGAGGCGGGCATTTAAACCACAGCATGGTCCTTTATTCCGGTCTCCAGCCTGCACAGGAAGTCCCCAATTAGACGGGAGAGTCGTCTCCGAGCTCTTCATCATGCACATGCATTATGGTGACCACCACAAAAGTCCCTTTGAGTGATGTTTTTGGGGACAGGGTTGGGAGTCCCTCATAGATGAGGTTAGTTCGTTCCTACAGACGTCTAGTAATTCACCTACTTATTTTAACTCTCAAAGCAGCCTAAGAAGCTCTAACAGATACTTGCACAATTCTCAATGACAGAGACATGAACAAAATGGAAAATGATTTAACCATTTGTGGTGGCAGTTTCTAAGACTGTTGCCAAAGGCCTGCAGGAGCAGATCATCCTTGTTTGTTTTATTTTCAGCGCTGGGGATTGAACCAGGGCCTTTACACTGAGCTACATTGCCAGCCCTTCCTTCACTTTTTATTTTGAGACCGAGTTTGGGAAATCACTGAATTGTCCAAACTGGGCTTGAACGTGTGATCCTCCTGCCTCAGCCTCCCAGAGTGCAGGTGATTATAAGCGTGCACCACCACGCCCGCCTGGCATCTTCCTGCTTTTCCATCAGCCTCACCTTTCATTCTGAGGACAGTTCTGTATGCAGGTGGGGCCTTTCCTTGGGTCCCTTGGTCAGAAAGTTAAGACAGGTTCTCCTGACATGTGGGCCCCCCTCGCGGGCCAGTGGCTCTGGTTCTGGACGCTGATGGGCCCCGGAGCTGTTCCTTGGGTTCGCTCTTAACATGGCGGGCCTGGGTGGGAATTGCAGCGAGAACAGGAGGCAGGGTCCGTAGCTTGTTTTATTTTGTTATTGCTCATGGATATTCTTGGTTTTTCTTTTTTCTTTCAATTATGTCGTCCAGACTGGCCTCAAAGTCATTCTCCTCCTGCCTCAGCTTCCCAAGTGCTGGGATTTCAGGCGTGTGCCCCGCTCTGGGCTTGATGAATGTGTGTTTCTCTGCTGGGTCCTCTAGCAGAGCTCAGTTACGTGAAGTGCACAGGAATGTCTGTCCCTCCCCTCCCCGCGTCCCCGCTCTGCCTCCTAGGCCTGACCCTCCATCCTAGCGGGGTCTGTCACCTGTGTGTGTCGTGTGTGTGTGTGTGTGTGTGTGTGTCCACATGTGCAGCTGTCACCCCTTCCCCATGCTCCCTTTTTCTAGCTCCCACAGCTGACCACAGTCAGAGAACATTAATCGGAAGACTCCAAAGCTCCGCCATTCGTAGGTTTGGAGCTGCGCACCGCTCGGCGGTGAGCGGCGTGCTGCAACGGCACAGCGCCCTCTGGACGCGCGTCGCCCTCTGTCCGGCACGTGCCCTCTGCCCTCGCCATCCGCCCCGGCACTCTGGACCAGCAGGTTGCTTGTCACGGGGTCACAGGGCTTGAGTTCAAATAACCCCGGTCCCCTCGGTTCCCCCGGCGCACCGGCAGCGGTGACTCAGATCTGCCTGAGAAGTGTGAAGCACTTGCGCTAAGTGAAAGGGGAATGTTCTCACCTTGGTAGGCAAGGAAAGAAATGGGTGCGTGGCTGCCAAGATCTATGGAAGAACAAATCTGTGAGCTTGTGGAGAAGGAGAAAGAAATCGTGCCGGTTTTGCCGTAAGTGGCAGCCAGCGTGTGATAGGAACTGAGTTACGGACAGGACAGGACAGTGCTGGGTCTGCTGCTGCCCACAGCTCCAGGCCTGGAGGTGGGGCTTGGAATGCACCCCCTCCGGATCAGGGGGATGACTACGCACGCGTGTGTGCATTCTCACACGCACATACACACACAGACACGGACATACCCTGTTCTGCAACCTGCTAGGTTTCAGCACGGTGTCCCTGCTAGACTGAACTCATTCTCAGGATTCTTTTTTGGGAGGGGAGGGGGTTGAGACAGGGTCTGTAGGCTATGTAGCCCAGGCTGGCCTCAAACTCGAGATGATCCTCCTGCCTCAGCCTCCCGAGTGCTGGAATTACACGCGCGACCTCCATGGCCAGCTCAGGATTCATCTTAGCCGCCTTCCTGTCCCTGTCCCCCTTTCGGTGCACCGTGACGAAGCAGGGAGGATGCCTGCTCCTCCTGTTCCTTCTCCAGCCGAGTGTCCGGCTCAGGTCTGCTGAGCCAGCCGCCTGGACAGGGTGGGCCGCATCTGCATCTCAGCAGGCTCCCGTGAGCGCTGGGGCTTCGGGACACCCGGGTCGGAGGGAGCACCCAGCTCCTGCGGCTGGCACTGAGCCTCTCCTGCCATCTGTGCTTCTGCTCATGCCCACGCTGCCCTTGGCCGGACACCTGGGCGGGTCCCTGCTGCACCTGGCCCTTCTTGCCCTGCTCCTGTTAGTGCTGGGGCAGTTCTGTGGCTCCCGGATACTGTGGGGATTTGTCCACACTTGCCCTTGGCCATCCAGTCTTGGTTCATCTTTTGATGCCTGGCGTTGAAAGCCTGATGTGAAGGTTTGAGCCAAGCAGGACAAATGAGGGTGATGCCCAGGGAGGGGTTAGGGTGCATGGGCGAGCAGGCCAGCATGGGCTCTCCCTCCGTCAGCAGGTGGCGCCAACCCTTCCCCCGGGCCTGCCAGCCCCTCCCTGCTGGGACCCGGCTGGCCTCTGACCTTGTCCCCTTCCCTTGCCCTGCCAGGTTGCTGGTGGAGAAGTTCGCTGTGTCGCTGCAGGACATCCCACAGGTGCACCCTGGCGAGAGTGTGTTCCTGCCCCGGCGCTACCCGCTGCCCTGCTTCCTGGACGCCTCCCAGCTGAAGCCACACAGCGCCCTGGAAGAGCTGTTCCTCAAGTGAGTGTGGGAGGCCCAGGAGCTGGCAGTGTGGGCGGGGGCCTCCTGCAGGGGGACCTCCAAGCAGCAGTTGGGTCGTTAGGATATGTCACCTCGCAGGGGTAGAGGGGACATGGTCATGCGTGTCTGCTCATACAATTGACTGATTTAGCTGCACAGACTAAAGAGTCCTGTGTCCTGACAGATACCAGGTGTGCATCCCATTGCCCCCCATGCCCTGGGTCCAGGGAACGGCCGAGTCCGACTCCTCACACACGGCCCGGGTTCTCAAAGCCATGGGCACCGGGTCCACTTTCTGGGCCAGCAGATCCTGGCTGGTCCCTCCCCTCTGCAGCAGAATGGGGCCGGATTCTCCTTTTGCTGTGTGATTTCTGTTACTTGTGGTCAGCTGTGGTCTGCCGCTCTCAGGTAGAGAGTTCCAGAGCAACATTTTAAATCGCGCACCATTCAGAGTCACATCGTGAAACCTCAGGCCGCCCCGCTCCTCCTGACACCACTGGGAATCAGCCCACTGCTTGCTTGCGAATCCACCTGGTCTACACTACCTGCCCGTTACTTAGAAACTGGCTTGGTTTTCACCCAAACTGGCTCATATCACAAGGCCTGTGTTCCAGTAATCCCTGTTTTACCTAACGGCGGCTGCAAAATGCAAGCGATGTCATGCTGGGAATTCAGATCCGACAGAGGGAGGCTATGAAGCGCTTCCTTACCTGGAAAGGTGGACGTTCTTGACTTTCACATCTATCCATAAAATCGGAAAGAAGGAAAAAAATTCATGCTCGTTGTGCTGTTGCACTCCAATCTGCAAAAACTGTAGCTACAGAAGCCAGGGGTGATGGTGCACCCCTGTAATCCCAGCCCTGAGAGGCTGAGGCAGGAAGATCACCACAGACTTAAGGCCAATTTGGGCTGCATAGTGAGTTCAAGGCCAGGTGAATGACATAGCGAGACCCTGTCTCAAAAAATAAAAAGGTCTAGCTACAGAGCGTGACAAGAATGCAGTTAAATTGGAAAAGCATTGAATTGTAGGTCCCAGTACTGCCTACCCTGTCAGGCCTGCACGGGGGTCTTAGGACGCCTCCTCCGAGGTAACGAGGGGCCATTCTGTGAGAGATGCCTCGCTTCTTCCGCCTGTGCGATGCTGCACCAAAAAGCTTTTTCCGGCCACCAACACGCTCAGTAACCATAGGACAGCTGCCTGTTCCTCTTCTTTTGGGGAGTAGATTCATGATGACTATCACATAATCACTACCTAGACTGCTTTTAAGAGGCTTTGAAAGCAGTTTACTGCAACATGCAGCACTTGCTGTTGTGAGCTAACATGTCCAAGAGGAAGAGAAAGAAAGGTGCCGTTGCTGCCTGCTGCGTTGGAGGCCGAGGGGACGGGGACAGGGGCCACCCTTACCCACCGAATGAGGGGCACAGAGGCCGGCAGCTTTGTGGTCTCACAGCTGTGATGGAGCTTGAACCTAGGAGTCTCCTCTCTTCTTCAGTCTCTGGCTTTCCTATGTGAATCTGTGCGTTTCTCCTGACAGTACTGAAATACCCAGGGCTGGGTCCTTACAAAGAGGAAAGGTTCATCAGCTCGAGTGAGGCTGGAAGTCCCCACAGCAGAGCACTCACTACAGCCGGGCCCCTTGCCACGTGTTGGATGGAGCCACAGCGCTGGGAATGTAAGAGGGGTCAGCCGGACCATTCTGGACCTTCTTCAACTTGGGCACTTTGGAAAACGCATTCAATTTTTGGACCCCATTGCCAAGAAGAACCATTGAGATCATACTACCAAAGTTCAGAAGAAAGGAGCAGAGCCAGGTCTTGGAGAAACACATGTCCCTGTCCCCATAGGCGAGCTGCAGGGTGTTGAACATCTGTGACAGGACGCGAAGACACCACTCAGCGATAAAACAGAGCACGTGAGAGCCAGTGGAAGACTTCAAACTCGAGCGTTCATGGAGATAGGCACGTGAGGTTGTCCACAAAAGAAAATTGCTGAAATAAATGCAAAACAAGAGACATTTCTACCAAATGGGGAGAAATAGAAACCAAGATAGGAAAAGAAGAAGAGGAACAAATGCGGAATGCCTGTCCAGGAGATACAGTCTTCTCATAGTAGGAATACCTGAAACAGTATAAAACAAGTGCAGCTGAAACAATAATTAAGGAACGGATGGAAGAAAACTTTCTAGAAGTAAAATACAATGAGAAGAAAGCAATACCTAGGCATCTGCTAGGTACTTTTTAAATTTTTAGAGATTAAAAAAAAAAGTTTTGCAGGTATCCAGAGAAAGCAGGTTACCTATAAAGGGACACTAGTTAGGTTGACCTCAGATTTTTCTCTTGCAATTCTAAATGCCAGAAGACAATGGAACCAGCCATGCATGATGGCACACAGCTGTTATCCCAGCACTCAGGAAGCTGAGGCAGGAAGATCCCCTATGAGTTCAAGGCCAGCCTGGGTAGGCTACGTAGTAAATTCAAGGACAGCCTGAACACATAGCTAGACTCTTGTCTCAAAAAAACAAACAAACAAACAAACAAACAGTGAAACAATATACTATCCTAGAGTTTGAAGGGAAATAATTTTGAAGCAGAATCATATACCCTGCCAAGTTGTTATCTGTTTATGAGGGCTCTGGAAGATACTCTCCGGTATGCAGGGACAGAGAAAGTCTGTCAGCCAAGAACCTTCTCTGAAAAATGTGCTGACTGATTTACTGCCGCCAACAGGGAACATAAATTAAAAATAACTAAAGAATAAGGAGGCAGTTGGATGAAAGCTGATGGCCAGCATTAAAACTGGTTAAGAAGCATGAAGACTTAGATTATTACATGTGGGGTAATAAAGCTGAATGCAAAAGTAGTAGATAATAATAAAGCTAGACCCGGCATTTTCAGTTTATGCAGCTTTAAGCTGTCAGTGCGCAGGCCAAAGAGCCAATGTGTTGGGCAATCAATACTATTTTATCGCCGGCCGTGGTGGTGCACACCTGTAATCCCAGCACTAGGGAGGCTGAGGCAGGAGGATCATTGCAAGTTCGAGACCAGCCTGGGCTACAAAGTGAGCTCAAGGCCAGCCTGAACTGCATAGCGAGACCCTGTCTCAAAAAGACAAAAAAAAAAAAAACTATTTTATCTTTGCCATGTAGGATTATATATAAAGGTGCATGCCGTACAGCCGCACATATGTAACATAAAAGCGCGGTGTCACTGTGGACAGGACAGGTACAGCACAGACAAAAAAAGTGATCACCTGGCCAGATAGCAAGCAGAGGGGTTTAGGGAAACAGGCACTTCTGTGAGGCGCCACCTCTTCCCCGCCCCCCAGTCCTGGGGGTTGATGCGCTAAGCTACATCCCTACCACCCACTCCTTTTTTTGGACAGGGTCTCACTAAGTTACTCAGTTGTCCAGATAGAGTTCGAATGGGCAATCCTCCTGCCTCGGCCTCCCAGAGTGCTGAGATTACAACCCTGTACCACCAGGCCCGGCTAGATGTTGCTCAGAGGTTGCTCTGGTTAGGATCTGAATAAGGTCCAGACATCGAGATTAGACAGCGCATGCTGCATGGTGAAATAACACCGCAGTCATTACTTTGAGGCTGTAATGTACTTAACCATCTTCCTAGTTGTTTAGGAGATGTGTGTTTCTCCAGCTTCTCTCTATGGGGAGCACCGTGGTGGGGATGTCTTTACATGTGTTTGTCTGGAGGTCGCCAGTGTGTTCCTAGCTGCAGTGAGAGATGACGTGAGTGTATGAACCCTGGTAAAGGTGGACCTGGTCCTACTGAAAAGAGGTCTAATAAAGATAAGATGAGGAGGAGAAAAAAGAAGAAAGAAGCCAGGTGTGATGGCTGAGGCAGGAGGATCACTGTGAGCTCCAGGCCAGCCTGAACTGCATAGCGAGACCCTGTCTCAAAAAAAAAAAAAAAACAAACCTAAGAGACAGAAAAACAAGAAGGGTCATGGAGCTGGAGAAAGAGACCAAGAATGGCCAGCTTGGACCAGAAGCCGGAGAGCGAGAGTGAGGCGTCTTCCTGTGCGGCTCTGCCCTGGGTTCCTGCCAGCAGCAGGTTTGCTGTCCCAGGCTGGCTGTCGGGCAGGAAGCGTTTGACAGATGAGGCGGCCCACAGTGCGGTGACCCAGGATCAGCGCAGCGCTGCCAGACGGGGCCAGGTGGCCGCCTGGCGTCCCTGCCTCTGCCTCGGAGGAGCTCGAGTGCACGAGGTAGCGGTTCCGTGCCTGTCTGCAGAGGCCTACTGGAGGGACGTGCTGTGTGACACTGCGGCTGTGTGACACTGTCCGGAGCTCCCGCTGAGCGGCGGGCAGGGCCACTTCTGGAGGTCACAGTCTCACCAGCGGTCACCTATCATTTCCTGTTTCTGCGAAGACCTCAAGTGTAGACACAGAGGGGGCTGAGTACGAATACGAAAACAAGCCAGCCGGGCTGGGCTAGAAACACGGCCACAGCGGGGACATGAGTGACCGAGGAGCCCTTGCCAGACAAGACGTGAGCACCTCGTGAGCTGCTGAGGAAATTTTATCCCTGGTCATATTCCTTGCATTTTCTAGACTCCGCAATGAACATGTATCGTTTCATCATTGGAGGGGGAAGAAGCGGATGTGTTTTTTTTAATTTTGCATTTTTTGAGACAGGGTCTTACTCTGTAACCCAGACTGGCCTTGCGCTCATAGTGATCCTCCCCCTCAGCCTCCCAAGTGCTAGGATCAGAGGCATGTACCACTACCCCTGGCAGCGATGCTACGTTTAAAAAAATCACCTCTTGAAATAAACGCACATCCCTCAGTTTTTCTGTTGTTTTGTTTTTTTGAGACAGAGTCTTGCCATGTAGTTCAGCCTGGCCTTCCACTCCCCTTTGTGCCCCACGCTGGCCTAGAACTAATGGTGATCCTCCTGCCTCAGCCTCCCAAGTGCTGGGATTACAGGCATGCGTCACCATGCCAGCTTCCAGCTGTTATTGTGCCACGAGCAGCTTCTCGCCTGGAGGAAGTCATTTGTAATCCAAGCACTTGGGAGGCCAAGGCAGGGGGTCATGACAAATTCAAGGCCAACTGGGCTATGTAGTGAGTTCAAGACCAGCCTGGACTACAGAGTGAGACCCTGTCTCCGGCAAGTGAAAGCTCCAGTGGGCTTGTGTTCTGTTACAGTATTTTATTTTAGCTTTCATCAGGAAAATTGGCATGGCTGGCACCATGTAAATAAGACCTCGGTGCCGACCCCTTTGCACCACTTGGGATGAGCTGGACATCTGGGGACTTTGCCCACCGGGACTGGATGGGGAGCAAGTCTTTCCTTGGGCACCGTCCGGGTCACGCTGGGAATTCCAAGCGGGTTGCTGGGCGTTGTGTGGCTTCCCTGGCGGGAGGCGTCGAGGGCAGGACAGACACCCGCCCATCATTGCCCGCGTGGCTGAGGATTAGCAACTGTGCTACGCCTGCACCCGGAGCCTCCCTGCTGTGAGATCCCCGCGCCAACAGCTCGGGGCTCTGTGTCCCCTGGGCCCGCGTGGCACCTGCCTCCGCTTCTCTGCCAGGACCCTCTGACATTCTCTGGATAGCTTGCGAGCTTGCCCTTGGCAGAGGCACCTGCTGGAAGCCAGCACAGGGTTCTTGGGGTGGAGACGAGACGCTGGCTTTTGCTAAACCTAACAACAGCTGATTCTGTCAGCCAAGATGTTTGTTTGAGACAGGGTCTCGCTACGTAGCGCAGGCTGGCCTCGAACTCTTGGTGATCCTCCTGCCTCTCAGCCTCTCAAATGCTGAGGTTTACAGGTGTGCGCTACCACCCTCACTTTAATGCAGCTGTTTGCATCCCACATAGCGCCGGACCCAGAATTCCTTGAGAGCCATTCGCTGCAGGCGGGGTAGTCTTCTGGCTCGTGCTGCTTGTCACACGTGTGAACCTAACTCAGCAGTGAGCCTGCAGCCCGCTGCCGTGTTCCTGGCAGACGCTGCACAGCCGGCAAGGCAGAAGGGAGGTGTGTGGCTGCTCCTGGGTGCAGCTGCTGGCCCTGTGTTGCTCCGAGCCCGCAGGGCCCCCCACCACCAGGAGTCCCTGGGGTGCTGGCCTCAGAGGGACCCTGCCAACGCACGGGTCCCAGCATCCCCCACAGGGTCCAGCCTGCTTTTGGGGGCAGCGTGTGTGTTTGTGCTTCTAAGTCCATGGGCGGAAACAGCGTGTGCTCGTGCATACAGGAGGGTCTGTCTCACAGCCGTGGGCAGAAAACCTCTTTCTCCTGGGACCGTAATGGCTTAGATCCTACGCCAGACCATCTCTCTGCGGCTGACCAGGAGTTTGGGGAGATGACAAAGCCCAGCCAGCCTCCCTTCCTTCCTTCCTTCCTTCCTTCCTTCCTTCCTTTCCTTTCCTTTCCTTTCCTTTCTTTCTCTCTCTACTCTCTCTCTCCCTCCCTCCCTTCCTTCCTTTTACTTTCTCTCTCCCTCCTTCCCTCTCTTTCTTTCCTTCTTTCTTTCCTTTTTGAGACAGGGTCCCACTGTGTAGTTCAGGCTGGCCTTGAACTCACTGTGTAGCCCAGGCTGGACTCAAACATGTGGTGATCCTCCTGCCTCAGCTTCCTGAGTGCTAGGATCACAGGCGTGCACCATCACGCCTAGCCAGCCACTTTAAACTGACTTCCAGAGTACCCGGTGCTGGAGCCCCAACAGCCGCCCAGAATACGTCTCCTCCTTTTTTTACACAGCCCTGGCGTCCTCTAGCCAAGGTGATCGGCCAGGTTTCCTGCCCCCAGCCAGCTGTGGGTTCTGAGAGAGGAAGGGACTGCACAGGGCAGCACGTGTGCCGTGCAGGTTGTGGCCTCAGCCACGGCAGCTGGAGCGCCCCTCACCCTGAGCGGGAGCAGGCGCTGCTCCCTGGACCTGCGTGCAGGAGTTCCTTCCCTGAGCTCCCAGGCCGGCCCCTGGCTGCTGTTTTCCCATGTGCTCGCTCAGGTGTCCTCTTTGTGTTGGAAAAACACAAGCGGGGCGGAAACACTCTGTGTAACTGGACCCGAGACGCTGGTGTGGCCCACAGGTAACCCTGCCCGGCCCGGAGCCCGGGCTGAGCACCGATTCCCCCGTTGTCGCCCCACCTCAGGCAGTGCTGTCCCCACTGGCAGATTCCTGTTTCCCTCGGTCCCTTGGAAAGGTTGCAGTGTGCCAGCCGCTGTGCATTTAAAACACTGTGAGGCCAGGTGTGGTAGCGCACAGCTGTCATTCCTGCACTCGGGAGGCTGAGGCAGAAGGATCTCTGTGAGTTCAAGGCCAGCCTGGGCTACACAGCGAGTTCAAGGCCAGCCTGAATTACTAAGCGAGACCCTCTCTCAGAACAAACCAAAATATAAAATAATAATTAAAAATAAAACACTGAGTTGTGTTTGTGGACAGCACTAGAGAAAAACAAGTGGTTTTGGTGACAGCTTGGGGCTTTTTTGCTTCTGGCAGCACCTGACACTGAGGGCTCCAAAAAGCACCTTTGCCCACAGTAGCCACGGTGCTTCACAGCCCCCTGACCCTGGGGTGTCTCCCACGGGGTCTCAGGAACAGCTGTGGAGCCCCTCACCGCACCCCTCTGTCCTCAGCGCCCCGCCGTCTCAGCAGCTGTTCTTCCTGCGCAGCAGTCTCCTGAGCACCCTCTACCTGCACTCCACCCGCCCCTGCCCGGTGCCTGTGCTGCAGTGGCTGCTCAAGGTGAGGACCCCTGTGGCCACTAGGTGGCGCGTGCGGCGCGGCCCATGAGCAGCAGGCTGGGGCCTCAGCCTCCTCTTGCCCAGAGTGGGCGCTGCTGGCCCGGTCGTGCCCCTGGATCGGGGAGGTGCTGGGACCCGCTGTGGCTTCCCGGGACCCACCCCACGGCCGACCGGGGCACCAGCTGCTCAGAGCCGAATGCAGGGCATGAGGAGGTGGCCTGGCCTCGCCCCACCCAGGGCTGGCCCTGCCCGGATGGGGATGGGCCGGCCCCAGGTCCTGGGGGGTGGCTGTGCAGCCCATTGGAGGCCAGAGCCCAGCTGTGAATCAGCTCCGCGCGGGGGTCACCCCGGGGCCTCGGCCCAGGAGGCTGGCGCTGCACGGCACCCTCCCGGCCCAGGAGGAGGGGAGCTCCTGGGGCCTGGTGCACGCCGCTGCCCCCACCCAGGCCCTGGCAGGAGAGGGGAGCGGGTCGGCCGGGAACAGTGTGGCCTTTATTCTCTGCCCCTCCCCGCACGGCCGATGACAAAATGCACAATCGGCCTTGGGCACACAAAGAGCCCCTCTAAGATGTCGCCCACAGAGGAGCCCTGTGTGACCTGACACGGCGGAGAGCCCTCCCGTTGGTGGCTCCATGTCTGCGAGGTCCTGAGACCCCAACCCCGCCGCTGGGCCAGCCAGGCGGGTCACTCGCAGCAGCTCTGTCCTGCGTGGGTCACTACGCGAGTGCTGTCAACCCTCTCGCCCGGTGGCCGCCAAGCCCTGCTGGGGCCTGGACCGGCCAGGGGAGCAGTGAGAGCCTCTGCACTTCAGAGCCTCCTGCAAGCGCTGAGCACTCCAACCTGGAGATCCTTGCGGTGCTTGTAAAGACACAGGGGCACCAGGTGTGGCGGTACAGACCTGTAACCCCAGCATTCAAGAGGCTGAGGCAGGAGAGTCACCACAGGTTCAAGGCCAGGAGGGAGTAGTGAGATCTGCCTCAAAACAGCAATAAGGAGATGACCCAGGCAGCCCTGCAGTTGGGATGTGCTTTGGACCTAGTGACCCTTAGGGGCTTCCCAGTTGGGGTGTGAGGCCCAGGCGGTCATGGGGTGCAGGCTGTGTGTAGGGAGCAAAGGGCGCAGCCGTGGCCAGCTCAGCCCCCAAGGTGGGCGTCCAGGAAGGGGCTCCGCTCAGGGCTCCTGGTGGCAGCAGTGCCCAGTCCCCGGGGGAGCTGCAGGCGTCCCCAGCACCCCAGTAGCAGGAGGAGGGCACGATGTGACTGCACATGCAGGGGCCCACAGCTGAGGCCGAACCAGGTCCTGTGACCGCGGGCAGGGCTGTCCCCTTGCCTGGCTGCACGATCATGCACGACTCTCTCCCGGGCTCCCCACCCTCAGCCTAGAACCCGTCCTCGGGAGGAGTGCTCGAGCGTGTGCCGGGTGGCGCCATCCCCACCCCGGATGTGTAAGAGCAGCGCTGCGGCTCCAGCGCCTCTGCGCCCTTGTCCCGGTGACCAAGTGTAGGCGCCGACCCGGACACCAGTCGGCTGCCACAGTAGGACCGGCGCTTGTCCGGGGCCAGCCAGTGTGGTCGGTGCTTTCCAGCTCTTTCCCCACTGTCCCCGCCAGCGAGGGACAGCTGTGACCCAGGGATCCAGGGCTCGAGGACCAAGTCCACACGGGCAGAAGCGACAGGAGAGCTCAGGTCACCGCAGCCTTCGCGCCCAGCATTGCTGCGTGCAGCACTAGCTGTGTGACCCAGAGGAGCGGCTTGACCTCTCTGAGCATGGTTTCCTCATCTGAAAGTGGCAAGAAAGACAGTATCCTTCTACCATGTGGATTCAATGGGATTATCTTATTTTATTTGTTTTCTACGAGATCCGGCCTCACTATATAGTTCAGGCTAGCCTGGAACTCATGGCGATCCTCCTGCCTCAGCCTCACAAATGCTGGGATTCTTGGTGTGTGCAGGGCCAAAAGGGATTTCTCTAATGTGGAGCTGTAGATGTTTGTTACTGCTGATCCACAGGGATAAACTTCTTTTTTCCTCCCAGCTGCTAGCATGGCCTCCAGACACGTCCTCAAGAGCCTTTGGTCTCCTGTGGGATCTCAGTGTGGATGAGCTCTTCCATCAGTCCGGTCAGTACCAGGGTGTGGGGCGGAGTCCTCAAGCTCTTGGCCCATGGTGCAGGGGAGCTGTTGGGGTTAGAGACACTGTGTCCTTTGTGGTGGAGACGGGGACCCGCCTGTCTTCGGCCCTGACTCTGGTGTTGGTGATAAACTGAGCCCCAGCCCCCGGCATCCTGCCCCGCCTCAATCCGGGTGGCCGTGGCCTAGTCTGGGCCGCGCTGCAGACCCCAGGGCCCCGAGCAGTCAGGGCAGTGGTGCTGCCCAGGGCAGGCTTGGAGCCAAGGAGGGGCTTGAGGAGCGTCAATGGTGTCCTGCCAGGCAGAGTCCCCGGAAGGGGACGTCCCCAAAGCCGTCCTCCCCTGGTGGAGCGGGTGTGCCCAGCACCCCTGGGTTAGGTCTGGGCTGGAATGACAGTCCAGTCTGTGTCCCGCCCCTGCGTTGAGGGGCGCCCTGGGCCCAAAGCTCCGCAGAAGCCATCAGGCCCTTTGGGGGCTGCATCCTCCCAGGCCGTCCGCGTGCGGTGCCTGGACCTCGACGCTGTGGCACCAAATTATATCATGTAACCAGCTGAAAGTCGTCTGCCGCAGATGGCAGAGGGATTCACCGTGCCCAGGCCCGGCCTGTGCCGGCCCCGCTGCCCCCTCTCCACAGCGTGGACAGGCGCTGGGGTCAAGATGCCCCTGCGGTGCGCGAGCCCCACCCTTGCATCTCCGAGCCGTGCTGCCTGGCTGTAGGAGTTGGCCGACCTGGGGGCCATCTGTCACGGTCACACATTCCAGATGCCCCTCCCCGCCTGCCAGGGAGCCCTGGCGGAGGCCCAGGCGGTGCTGTCCCCGCATTCTGTTCCTTTGTGTAACCCCTGCCTCTGTGGCCAGGCGGCCCTTCCCAGCCCTGCGGCCGCCTCTGCCGCAAGCCTGCCCTTTCAGGGACACAGGCGTCCCTTGCCCCGCTCTCCTCCCCGGGACAGAGGGAACACCCCGTCCTCTGCCTGTTGCACGTGGTCCCTGACCCCTCCTCCTTCGGGAGGGCTGAGAAAGCATCCCTTGAGCTCCTGGCAGCTCCGCTGTGGCTGCCCGACCCAGAGCCTGTCCTGTGGACGCACCTGGCTCCGGCCCCGCAGGCTAGACTTGAGGGGGAACCCCAGGCCTGAGCTCCGAATCCCCGCTGATTCCGGGCGAGGCGGAGCCGAGGTCCACAAAAGAGTCGCAAACAGGAACCTGGACACACACTTGGCGTAGCTGTTCACCGCAGCGTTGTTCTTTTTTGTTGTTTTGACACAGTCTTGCTAAGTGGTGCAGGCTAGCCTTGAACTCGCATCCTCTTGCCTCAGCCTCCCGAGTGCTTGAATCACAGGCGTGCGCCGCCACACCCAACTGCAGCATTATGCATGGTTGCTAAACGGTGGAACCCAGTGGATGACGGGGTGACAAAGCAGGGTTTGGACAGGAGGTGGAAAACCATTCCACGCTGGAAGCAAAACTGTCACGTGCTACCATGTGGATAAAAATACGGGGTCCCTGACCTTAGCCATTTCCCAAAGAACAGGTGTCCTAGGAGTCTACTCGTGGGGGTCCCCAGAGTCATCAGATTCTTAGAGACAGAAAATAGACGGCAGCTGCCAGGGGCTGGGGGAGGGCGCGGCGTTTCTGTGCGGATGGCGACGGTGCTGCACGGCAGCAGGAGCACGCGTGGGGCTGGCCGCGGGGCTCCCACCAGGGCCTCCCGAGCGTAAGACGGCTCCAGCCCCGGGCTGCACCCCGGCCCGGAGGACCGCCCTCAGATCCAGGCTGGATGCGAGAGGAAGTCGCGCTGCTCTGGCGTCGTCCCCGTCCCCGTGGGGGGCAGCGCTGGGGACAGAGCCTTGGCCACCTCCCCGCGTCTGCGTCTGCATCTGAGAAATGCGCAGGGCTCCGTCCCAGCCTTCCGGGTGGAAAGCAGGAGCTGGTGGTGACGAGGGTGCCTCCCGGCGTTCCTTGGGACGCTTTTGTCCCGACCGCTGCCTGAGTCAGGAGCTCCGAGGACCAGGATGGAGCTGGGGCCGGCTTCGAGCCGCGGCACGGAGGGCGTGCTCGGGGGACCAGGGCGGGGCCCGAGGATGCCAGGCCGCCCTGGCGCGTGGCTGGAGGACAGGGCGCTGCGGTTGTGGACAGAAAGGCAGCGCGTGTCACCTGCGCGAAGTCTCATGAGCTCAGAGTATGGAACATTCTGGAAGGTCACCAGGCCTCGCCCGGGGGGGGGGGCCCACAGTCGAGTGGGGAAGATGAGTTGAAGGTCGCCTCGAGGTGCGGGGCACCGTCCCTGTCCTCAGGGCTGGTGGCCGTGGGGGCGGAGGGGCCAGTAACCGAGGCAGGAGGTGGAGAGGGAGCAGGAGGAGCCGCCAGCAGGAATCAGCAGGAATCTGGGGCTGCCGGGCCACTCTGGTGAAGAAGCTCAGGCAGAGACTGAGGGCGCTCACAGTCGAGGGACAGCGGCCCTGTCTGGAGGCCTGCTGGCCCAGGCCTGTGCATAAACAGGTCCAGAATCCCATGTCCTCCCTTCTCGAGGAAGCTGTGTTTTAGGTGGGCTCTGTTTCTTTGGTTTGGTTTGGTTCAGTTCGGCTGGGGACAGGGTCTTGCTACGTGGTTTAGTCTGGCTTTGAACTCACTATCTAGCCTAGACTGGCTGGTCATCCTCCTGCCTCAGCCTCCCCAGTGCTGGGGTTACTCAGGTGCAGCACTACACCTGGCTTGCGCTTTTTCATCTGTGCCTAACAAATCCCTGGTGAAGAGAAAACAGCGTTCAAGGCACGAAAGTAAAGTGTAAGGGATCATGGCTTTGCATACTTTTCTTTCGTCTTCTTTTTTATTTTTATTTTATTTTATGGTACAGGACCTGGCCAAGTCGTTGAATTGCCCAGCTTGGGCTCAGACTTGCTGTCCTGCCTCAGCCTCACAGAGCACCGGGATCACAGGCGAGCACCACACACCCCGCTTCTCTCTTTGTATCAGGACAGTCTTCTCACCCTGTTCCATTGGACAGAACGGGGTCACAGGCCTTGAAGGGTTCTGCCGTGTTTCCTGGCTGCTGGTGCCCTTTGTACACCCCGGTTGTATCTGAAGAATCTCTGGCCTCATGAGTCCCGCCACCCTCCCCCAGGGGAGAGCCCAGGAAACTCGCTTTTCCAGCTTTGCCTCCATCTTTGAATTTTCAGTTTTCAGATGAGCCGGCTGACACACTGGACGATGGTTTACATAGCATTGATGTAGTCGCAACTCTTAGCAATCTAGGCTGGCCTTGAACAGAATGAGGCCCTGGGTGGATGGGTGGATGGCAAATACTGCAGCATGTGTTTGTTTGTTAGATTTTAAGACAGAGTCCCTCTATGTAGCCCGAGCTGGTATCAAACACAAGGTGATCCTCCTGCCTCAGCTTCCCAAGAGCTGGGATTCCAGGAGGGTTCCAGCGGCCCACCAGTGAGAGAAGAACCGACAGGGGAGGAAGCTGGTGTCCTTTGTCCTGCATGTCCTCGGTGCTTGTCAAAGGAAGGCTGCTGCTGACCTGCAGGGGCCAGGAACACTCACAGCCTGAGGACAGCGAGGCCTGGGCCCCCGGGAGCGGCTCCCCACGGGGAATAGAGAGCACAACACTCTTCTGCCCCAGAGAGGCCTCAAAACCGGGTTCCTGCACCCAGGAAGGAAGGAACACACTCTGAGGCACAGCCCGATGGACAAGCCCTCTCAGAACTCACTGAGGTGAGGCGGTGGCTCACGCCTGTAATCCCAGCACTCGGGAGGCAGAGGCAGGAGTATCGCTGCTAGTCTGAGGCCAGCCTGTGCCGCAAAGTGAGACCTTGTCTCAGAACACACACAACACACGTCTTGGATGAAGAAATACATGAGAAAATGTTCATCACTGGTCATTTGCGGGATGCAAATTAAAACAACACTGAGATTCCATCTCACCCCAGAAAGAGTGGCTGTCATCAAGAAATCAAACAATAACAAATGCTGGAGGGGCTGTGGGGAAAAAGGAACCCTGCTCCACTGTTGGTGGGAGCGTAGACTGGTACAACTGCTATGGAAACAGTGTGGAGAGTCCTCAAAAAACTAAGATTGGAAGTCCTATTCAACCTACTATTCCCCTTCTGGGTACCTTCCCGGAAGAATTAAAAACACCATACCACAGCAATATATGTGCACCTATGTTTACAGCGGCATAGGTTGTAATAGCTACATCCTGGAAGCAACTCAAGTGCCCACCAGCTGAGGAATGCATAAAGAAGATGTGGGTTTTTTTTAATACAATGGAGTACTACTCTGCCATAAAGAAGGACATGATGGAGACATTTCTAGGAAAAAGACTGCACCTTGAGTCCATACTCCTAAGAGAAATAAATTGGACACGCACCCACAGAAAAGTCAGAGACACACGTGAATACCACGTTGTCTCTCTGGTGTGAGAAACTGAAAGTGTAAATGAGGACCCAAATGTATAGTAGGTGTTGTGAAATCAAAGGAAAATGTCCAAAGGGGAAGGGGAACAAGGGGGAGGGGAGCCGGAAAGGAAGGAAGGGCAAAGTAAAAAAAAGAAAAGAAGGAAAACATGGAAACACAGCTTTGTAAATGGGGAGGGGAGGGGGGTTGAAGGGAGGCAAATGGGAAAATAAGTTACATCGTGTACAGGTGCAGATTCTCTGTGATGAACGTGATGTATGTATATCTAAACTAGACCGATAAAGTCTAACAAAAAAAGACTGACTTCACACATCACACGGTTCATCCCTGCCACCCCCACCCCGCGCTGGAGGCTGAACCTGGGCCTCGTACTGAGCTACGTTCCCAGCCCTTTTTATTTTTTTACTTTGAGACAGATTCTCGCTAAGTTGACTGAGTGGGGCTCAAACTTGGGATCCTCCTGCCTCAGCCTCTGAATGCTAGCAGCTCCTCTGCGTGTAGTGTATGAGTCCATGGTTTTTTTGGACACTCACAGAGCTTCGCACTGTTACTACCACCTAACTCCAAGACACGCCC